ATTCAAGCCGTTGCTGCCCCCGGAGTTGCTGCCCAGCAAACCCCAAAACTGCCCTGGGCCCCGCCCCGAGCCGACGCTCATGTCCAAGGCGCGCTCCTGCTCGGCCTTGGCGGCTTTGCGCCCGCTTCCGCCCCCTTTGGCTAAGGACGGCGAGCCGGCGGATTCCCGTTTGACAGCCTCTCGGGACACGGCCGGGCACGGGGGCCTCAGAGGCGGCGCGGCTGCCCGCTTCAAAGCTGTACTGAAGAGCTCGCCAGGCCGGTGGTGCTCCGGCGCTCCCGCGAAGCCGCGGCCGTGGTTCAACACGCAGTGGAAGTGGACGTGGGCCTTAAGGCTGTTGGGATACTTGTAGGTTCGCAAGCAGTACCAGCAAATGTAGCGCTCTTCGCCTAGCAAGGAAAAACAATAGATCTGTAACAATAACCAGAAATGCGTCAAGCGCAACTTTGACAAAGACTTTTGAAACGCTTTCAGATTTGAAGGGAGGAAGATGCTGGGAGGGAGGGGAGGTGATAGGTGGCGGCGGGGAATCTACTGAGGCAGAGGTCAGTGTAACTGCTCCCAATTAGTAGTTCCCCAAGTAGTAGGTCCTTTGGGCTCCCACTTTCAAAAGTCCCAGTAATTTTCCAACCATCTCTGGACTGCCACATCTTGGTTCAAACTGTGCTGATATATTAGAGTTTGGTCTCCATTGCGTTGATAGACAAGATTATGCAAGTGCCTGAGTTCGGACTAACGCATGTTGGCAGATGATAATAAAATAGAGCAAGTGTCAGCTGTATCAGTGCTGGATAAATATGGTCTCAGGGAAGCGTCTAATTGCAGGTGATTCTTCTGTTACAAAAATGAGAGCAAACTGTCTTAAGCCTATTCTGACATAGCTTCATAACTTCCCCATCTCTTATTTTTAAGCAATTATAATCACACAACTGCTGTGAGAATGGTAGAAGTAATGGTAATAGAACTTTAAAATACTTTCAATATTATATCTGCAGTCCCTAGAGACACAAGTTGTTTATTATTATTTCTAGGCTTCTTTAAATTAATGTGGCTTGATTTTAATTGATTTACTGTCCTTTAATGTTGGCATTCAAGAGTCATTAAAAAGTTTTATGTTGGTTCTACAGACAGTAAGATCTTTATACTAGAATTATACTAGAAACTGAAAAGGCAACACAAAGGAGATTTGTCCAGTTTTATTACATTAAGAATAATTCTGAATATAAAAGAATTAAAACAATATACAGAGGAATCATTTAACAATTATGGCAAGCCTGACTCATCCCTAGACAAGAGCTAAACGACCATTTCTTGGCCAGGTTTGGTGTCCTCCAAATCCCATTTGTCATTCTCAAAAGAGGCCCTATTCATACATCCATCTATATTTTGGAAGACTGGGTGCTCACTGATAACTCCCCTTGACTATTTTACCAATATTGCTAGCCCTGCTCTGATCTATTTATAGATGCCAACATCTCAGGTCATTAATTTACTACTTTAACTGGTTTAGTATGAAGCAGTCAATCTGTATGGCAAACAAAAGTCTTAACTGACCAGCCTAGCCCATAGTAAAAGTTCTGGAAGATGAATGCACACAGTGTTCAGCAACTGGGGAAGCTAGGTGGCTTTTCTCTTACCTGGAAGGCCATCAAGGCTGTCTTCCCCATGGTTACAACTGCAGAATTGGGTTCTTGTGAACGCTTTTGGCTTCTGATTAACTGGGCAGGCAAGGCTGACCTAATCAGCTAACTTGAATTTAAGTCAGGTCAGTAATAAACACAAGATCTTTTATAAGGTGAATCATCATGCTTCAGTAACATCTCTTTGCATTCTGTCAAAATTAGTTTGTCCCACTGCATATGTTAATTAGTTCCTATGCATATTTTATATGGTCAGGAATACTGCTTTGTTAATTACCATTGCAACTTTTGGATTTTATGGACAATTTTTGAATTTCATTTGATGGGCTATTCTTTGTGAATGCCGTTTCCCTCTGATTTCCTTCCTCTCCATTTCTTCTCCCCACTCTTTATCAACAACAAAAAAACCACTAGCAGAGCTACAGATAAATTATATTTTGTTACAAAGTGAGATGCCTGTATTATCCCTCTTTACTTATTCTGGAAAGCCTAATTATGTTCTCTCAAATATCAGGGGTTACCATAGCCACTCATCTTCCAATGATGCATATGTTATTTTTGGCAACAAGAGCTTTCTGTCTGCTATCAAAGATAAATAGCCAATATTTACACAAGCAAATACATGGATACAAATCTGATATTTAAAATGCCAATACTCATAAACCAGTAGCAAGACTCTTCAACCTTTCAAGACATTCTGTCACTGCCTTATGGTAGCCATTCTTGAACAAAGAAACTTCATAGGCAGATTATATGGATTACAATACATAAAATTCAAGATTTGCCTCCTGGGGGAACAGTTGTATTTTTTAAAGAAAAAGTCAAAATGTGTGTGTTAGTCAATTCACCAACACAATAAATGTATCTTTTTTCTCCCAACACATATTTTTGGAATGCCCATGGTTAGTAAAGTTACAATTGCTTTCCACATTTCATCTCCCATCACCTGTCTTTACAAATTGCCCTTATCCAAATCAAGGATGCATATATACTTATAACTTGTTTAATGATATATTTGTTACTCCTTAGAAGTGCCACAGAACCTTCTGGTATTTTTTGCTAGTTTAAGTTTGCCCTTCAGGCATCACATAAAAAGGTATTTTGTATAAGCCAACTTATGCCACAGAAAATCAGATGCATATATACTTATAACTTGTTTAATGATATATTTGTTACTCCTTAGAAGTGCCACAGAACCTTCTGGTATTTTTTGCTAGTTTAAGTTTGCCCTTCAGGCATCACATAAAAAGGTATTTTGTATAAGCCAACTTATGCCACAGAAAATCAGTTAATCTTTTACGGTCTCATTCGTAATAAAGCTTGAGTTTAACCAGAAATAAGTTGCCTATTATTAATTTATCTGATGCCAAATGCTA